TGCGCAATATTCGAGATTTGGTACAGTTTGTACCAAATCTCGAATATTGCGCATGAATGGTTTCGTTATTAAAAAAAAAGTTATTTGATTCTGTGTTAGTGTTAGTTTAAAAATCCTGTAATTTTTAGAAGTTTCCATACCCGAGACGATAGGCGAATAAAAAGTTTATAGCTAATTTGATACTTTTTTCTATGTACGCTTATTTAAAATAGTATTTAAGGAACAGTTTATACATATTACATAATATGTCTGGTTTAAATTAATATGTCATTGAATGACCATTGACCTTGACTTGTATTCAGACCAGACACTTTCTGGTAAGTATTTACATCTATAACAAGTTTGCAAATGAGGTTTCTGATTCATTTATTTTTTTATTATTAAATTCGTTGATTACTTTAATTATTTTTTATTAATTAAACATTTTAACAAAAGATTATATAAGCTAGTAAGTTACGAAATGTATTAGCTATAAATATCTAATCAGATTCGGTTCTAGTAATGTTTTTATAGACACCCTTAGCGATAGTCTAGAACAGTCTAGATACTATCGAGTACATAGTGCAGTAAAATTCAGATTCTATTAGTGATAGAGACTTTAAATTAAAAAATGTAAAGAATTATTTTCTATCATCCTAATCGCCCCACTCCTAGTCATACGTAAAAGTTATATCACTTTTGAGGAATCTTAAATTGTAATCACGAATGAAAACCATTAAAAGTAGGTTGTTCTAAAATTTCAAAAAATAACATGGCCTTATCAACGTATAATGTAAGAGCTATGCAATAATTTAAAAGGCCTCTCACGTACGACGATTTTATTCGTAACAATACCTCGAACGGTTTTAAAGAAGTTTTAACACAATACCAAAACAGTGTTTTCCTCAGTATCACACTAAGTGGAAGTACTCTAGGAGTTGGATAACTCGAAACTTCCTTATTGCGTTAACGTATACCTATAGATAAAAATAACAGCCCTTTAATAACAACCAGCCATATAACACATCTGTCCGTGTGGTGACGGATCAAGAATACAGAGTGTCACCACCCCATTTCTTCTCGTTGGTGTCGTAAGAGCCGACTAAGGGAGAAAACTATACAGAACAACAACACTGCACAGAGAAGGAAAACTTGACACAAACCCTATACCAACCCGTCTGGCCAGCGTGGTATAGTAGGCCAAAACTTCCTTTCTAAGGAGAGGCTTGTGTCCAGCAGTGGACTAGTAAAGGCTGTTGATGATGATGATATAACACATCACATGACAAGTAACTTCCTACATTATACCTACTTTATAGTTAACATAACAATTACACAATTCTTTTGCACCCAACTTACTGTAACCAAATATAGACTTGTAAAGTAAATATTGAGTATGGAGGGGAGGTACTTTAGTGACCATATTAATAATTTAAAAAAATAATTGCACACTGCAGCCGTCATAAAAAGGTTAACTATAAAAGTGTTTATTTATTTTATGTGTAAATAAGTTTTTCGAATTGAAGATTTTATTACTAATAACCGCTTATATTTTTATATAGATAACAAAAGTACAGAATATTCATCATATTCAAATCTGTTTACACTTGGCAAATTACAGATTTTTTTTTGTGAGGGGGCAGACGTGCAGACGGGTCACCTTTGGAAAGAATTGACTATCGCCGCCCATGAACGTCTTCAAGTCAGGAGTCACAAACGCGTTGCCGGCCTTTTAGGGTTAATTACAGAAATGCCTGGTTTAAAGTGAGCCGTGTGCATCATCTATTTCAATCAACTTGACATAAGATGTTTTTTCTTGCAGATAACCTTTTTAAAAGACCAAGTTGCGGGGAGAAGGAGGATTTTTAAACTGATTTTAAAGTTCTAGTTTAGCATAGTGTGTATTGAATATGCAGTTGAATATACTTATCATGTCACATACTTGTACATAAGTACAGTTGCAACAAAACGTAACCTGTATTTCGTATAGTTGTCATATTTTATTGTAATCAATGACTGCCTCGGTGACGCAGTGGTAGCATAGGCGACTGCCGTGCTGAGGTCTCCGGTTCGGTTCCCGGATCGGACCCAAATGTTTGTATGATCTTCTAATATTTGTTTCGGAGTTTGGGTATTTTCGATGTATAATATGTATGCATTTACAAAAAAAGTATATAAGTATTCTATCAGTCAATCTAGCTTTCATAGTACAACCTCTGTTTAAGTTAAAACTAGATGGCGTTGTGTGTTAGAAATCTTCAATATTATTATATTATCTATATATTTATATTAATATAGACGCGTCATGCAGGAACATCTCGGCCCTCAAAATCGACGCAAACACTAAGCAGCTACCCACTTACTGGCTTGAAGAAAAAGAACAGCAATGTATGTTTATATTATATATAGATATATATTTAATGTATTTCAACCCAAACTCATCTCTCGTGTAAACGGGGCCAAACGGTTTTTCCCCATCTCAAAAAAAACATTATTTTGTTTGTTGTTCAAAAATGCCCAACGCGCCTAAATAATTTTTCACTTCAATAACAAGCGCAAAAGATTAGGTTTAACAAATATCTACCTTCCTCTGGGCTCTAAACTGGGTACGCGTAAGCGTACGAAGGAAGGTATGTGCTACCTGCATACTGAGCTCCAAAAATAAGTTTTATTATTTACTATTGCATTTAAAGCTTTTATAGTATTTATTCACGGTTAACATTTACTCCAAAAGTGAAATCATATTTTAACCTAAATTGGAATTCGTTGTCGTCACCTCGTCTGACCTGCATTAAAAGTAGGATTTCGCAGATAGGTAGTAGTAGTATACAAAAAGGTAGCTTTCGTTGAAAAGAACAGACAATCCACAACACAAAGAAAATATATATAGTCTCAATATTAACAGATTATATATATAGATCAATGCCACAGAGGTGATATATTGGTGGTCATAAAATACGATGGTGACATAGACAAGTTATTAGCCCGTAACAACTCCTATACAACCGTGGCAAACGAGGTCGTAATTTCTACGCAATTACTGTTAGTCACTCCCGCAGGACATAGAATGCCAGAGATTTGATAATAAATATTATCTTAATGTGATAATACAAATCGTAGCATGTACATGATAAGAGCTTAGTGATTCCGTATGGAATGTAAGTATTGGTGAGTAAGGTGACAATTTGTGCTGTAGTATTGGTATTAGTCCCATTGCGAGAACCGAACGGAGAGGTGGATTGTTATTGTTCTACGACGAAACTACTAGCCAAGATGCATATCTGCTCATTAGAGTTAGGACGATATGAAATTGCAACAAGCCAGTGTATAATCACTGCCTGCCTGCCTTGTACTTGTTTTTGTCATCAGAATCTATTAATCTATCCAAATTAACTAAAAAAACTAATTTCAGGACCAAATAATCTTTTTTTATTATTTTCACAGCATAATGAATGTTGGATAAGACACCTCAACCTCTATTACTGTCGTTAAGCCGTTAAATGAGTTAGTTATATCGGTTAATAATAAAAACCTTTAGGCCACATGAATCATTCTCCTAATGCTTATAATTACAGGAAGATGCGAGATCGCGAACACCTTGATCGTTTAATATATTTAGTTTACAGAGAGTAGGTACGAAAGCTGTTATCTCGGTGAATAAATTAAATCAGTTTCGAAGTGCGACGCAATCAAATAGATATATTTATAGTTGTACGTTTTTGAACGGCTCCATCTCACAGAGAAGTTATAATTGAGAATAGCACTTAAAAGTTATGCTAGTCGTGTGGACGAAGTAAAGGAGATGAGTTTTTGCCTCTTAATAAGGAACACCTTTTTTTTTAATGGCGGACATCTAGCGTCATTTACCATCACCTAACCGGTCTGGTCAGCTGATGGTAAATGCTCTGGAACTTAAGAGTCACAAATGTGTGATGGGGATATGGGTTATGGACTCCAGTTACCTCACTCAATCGTTAAAACCATCGTAACGATTTCTTAAACACTGTTTTTTTTTTGAGGTGATCACTCCGGTCGAGTCGGTACATAGGTTTCGAAGCATGGCTCTCCCCCTATAATGAAAGCCTCATCTATGGTTACACTACTGGAGTAGCTACTGCTCGTTTACTCTTAGTGTAGTAGATTAGTAGATTTGACAACTTACACGTACACACGCTTGCCGATTGTCTTATTTGTTGATAGTTTAGCACTAATATAATGTACCGTGGGACATCTGACTTCAATAAAAATATCATCATCAGCCTATCGCAGTCCACTGCTGGACATAGGCCTCTCCCATTGCACAAATAAAAATATGTACAACATAAAATACAAACAATAAATTGATTTTTTTTTATGATAGCTCACGTGATTCATGGCGCATGGGATGGACTTAATAAGTGAATTGCATTTTGAAAGTGTCAATTTACGTGTGTTACTTTTTAAAAGTAGGTTCGGTACAAATCTAATCTTAAAATAGACGCAATTATTGTCGGAATATTAAAAAAAATAATTTAGAATGAGAAGAAATGTGAACACCTCTGTAAGTTTAACCCTGCATTTTTCATGTACGTATGTGTAAATCATAGAATAGATAAGATAAATCCAAAAAAATAGTTATTAGGCAGATTTTGTGGATCAATCAACATTTCGTGATTTAAAATTACGTTTATGTAATTGCTACAATTGCTAGCAAGCTAAAATCATTTTTGGGAAATCTTGATTTTCTATGACATTATATTTTGTTAATGTATACTAAAGCACTTTTTTTTATTGAAAGAATAGTTAATTATGAACAGTTATGACCATATTGCATTTTCTCAGAGTAGCAACATTTATGTATACCTAATTCTATTATTGAACACATTTTATCATAATAGTCAAGGTGCGGTTTCATAATAGAATCATTATGAATCATTATTTATACTAGTCATTTTCACAGGATGAACATTGTGGCAATATTTCTTGATGAACGGAGATAACGAGTGCGAGTGCGAAATATTTTTATTACTGTTGTTGTGGCAATGAGCACCAGCACGTCACCGAAGACTTCACTCGCTAAGCTAGTACTGTATCCTAAACCAAAGACTTTTAAAATTATGGTCTTAGGACAATCTGGCGTTGGGAAATCAGGTAAGAAAATCTTCAGATAACTGCACTGCATATTATGAGCAACTTTATTCATATTATTTTGTTTAATATAACAGCACTTTTATAAAATAGCTTACCTACATAAAATTTCATCTAATAATTTTTTATAGGACAACCGTCAAACAGTGTATCAATTTAAAGCAAAACAAATAAAAAAGCAATATCTACCAATTAAGTAATTGAAATGAATTTCTTTCCATTTCATAATCGCTGGTGTTTGGTACAACAAACATAAACCACTCACGTTCATTATAATTTTAAAAGAATATCGATTTCTTCATAAATATTAATTAAAATGGTTCAAAGCTCATTATTGAATATAAAGCGATCAATATAAATTCGTTCGTATTTTCTTTTTAATTAATGGAAACGTTCCATACATTATTTTGTAAGTTAATGTACTCGTAATTTTGGATTCTGCTATTTTTGTATTTCAACCACTCTTAAACTCATTAGGCTAAATGTAAACAGTTAGAAAAGAAGGGTCTCTCGTGCCAATATTTATTGTTGACATAAGGATGACAATTAAGTTCATTGGTTAACTATAGATACCTAATTGAAGAATATAATGGAGTTCTAAACAACTGACATTAACTGTCAATTTAAAAAATGAGGTTGTTTGTTTATCAAAAACTAGCTCACTTTTCATGTTAGCTCTCTAATTTTATCTAGCCGATACCCGCAGATAGGTCTATGTTTATGGTCACTGCTCTACTCCTAACGATCGTAGCATAATATATATACAAAAGCTAAGATCTCCCTCAATAAATCCACTATTCAATACAAAAATACCTAATTTGGATCATACTCGTACTTACAGAGATAAGAGCGTTTAAAAAATAAATAAGAAAATCTTCTGGTTGATTACAATATGTTATCATAAATATCATAAGAATTATTTTAAACTTTATTTAAAAAAAAAAGAAAACTTTAGTCAACTTAGAGTAAGTAATTCCAATCTGGGACAGCTCGACTCTCTCATATTAATAAATTATTTCACTTACAGCTCTTGTAGTCAGATTCATTACCAGAAGATTCATCGGAGAATACGACCCCAATTTAGAGAAGATTTATACATTCCAAACTGTAATTGATAACGAAATGGTATATTTTGAAATACTCGATTCCGCTGGAGATTCACATGTAAGTTCCATACTTTTTTGCAACGAACACTTGAGAGTTTATAACTGAACTTCTCCATCCCTAGTGTTTGCAATGCATGTTATAAGTGATATACACATGCGCATGAAATAATATTAGATATGAAATGGTAATGAAAAACTGATTCTAAATCGTATTTCAACTGATATTGATATTCCTAAATGTAAACACTACTCTTGTAGATAATAATAACTCATATTAAATATATTTTAGGTGACAATCAAAAAAATAAGAACAAAATGTTACTTGGACTTTAGTTTTGAATTTCGAAATTGACTATGAATTATTTCTTATTTTTATTTCTCTCAGGAAAGTGAATACGCGAATCTCGAGAGCAACATCCGATGGGCAGAGGCGTTTATTTTGATGTATTCAGTAACAGACAAATGTTCCTTCGACGAATGCCATCGACTCAAATTCCTCATCAACTACAATAAAAGAAGACGCCGTCTTGCTTCGACTATGAAGGTTAGACATACTATGTTAAAAACAAGTTTCTGTATTTTGCGCAACGGACAAAGCAAGAATGAAAATGTTTAAATTGAAATTACTTTTCAGACTAGGAAGTATGGTTAAAATTTAAAACTTTTGACAAAAATAATATTAATAATTTATTTTGACGGGCCTGTTGACCTAGTTGTTTGTGACCGTGACTGCTAAGACGAAGGTCGTGGGTTAGATTCCAACGTAATACATATATTGTATGATGAGCACGATCATTTGTACATTTTGTATGATGAGCGCGATCATTTTTACTGTCTGTGTGTAATTTATCTATCATCAACAGCGATTATTAGGCCATTGTTGGACGTAGGCCTCTTCTTAGAAAGGAGATTTTGGCCTACTGTACCACGCTGGCCAGACGGGTTGGTATAGGGTTTGTTTTAAATTTTCCTTCTCTTTGCAGTACTGTTGTCCTGTGTAGTTTGCTCTCTTAGTCGATTCTTACGACACCTAAGGTATGAACAGGGATGGTGACACTCCGTATTTTTAATCCGTCACCACACGGATGTATTTTAATATGTATAATTTATCTATATCATGTATGTATTTAGAAATATATAAGTATGTTTATCAGCAGTCTGGTTACCATAGTACGAACTTGCAGTGAGCAGGGTTCGGTGGATATAAAAGCTTGGGTTATTTCAAGGTTACATATATGATCACGGTATAGATAGAATTAAACAAAATTCTGAATAATGAAATCTTCAAAATGCGATATCTCAGCGAAAAAAAATGATATTTAAACAAACTCAAAGTCATTTAAAAGCTAAAGACTTGAATATTAAGATACCATGTGTACTTTTTTAGGCATTATAAAATTTGAAGGGTTACATAACCTCAAAAATGGGCGTTTTTTGCACATTTAGGTTAGAATATCTCAAAAACCTGACGTGATAGAGTAGCGTAGTAATTCAGCAGAGTAGCGTAGAGTAGAGTAGTAATTCAGCGGTTGGATTTAGATTCAGCGTACCAAAAACCTTTGGGAAAGTATACTCTGATTTTTGGGAAAAAAATTATTGGCCTGTGTTGTCATAGGATTATACATAAACACTGGAATAGGTACCTGTTTAGTTTATTTATTTCAGAGGCCTTTTTTGTTCTGCCTTCAATAATATAGATAAGTAGAGGTACATGTAAGGTTTCATTATTTTTAAGATCATATGTTTTTAGAACTGGTTTTAAGTGGGTGCTACGAAAAATTTATGTTCAATAAAAGCTAATGTTAGTCAGAACGTAAGGTTTTCCAATTACTGAAATGTTATTTTTTGTATACTTGGGAGGCGTCTTTGAAAGTGTGTTAAAGTTAGCGTCGAAGTTTACGTGACAGACTACTAATCAACACTAAATCAACTCAGGCGTTAAATCGACTCGGTGTAGGTAATAATTCTAAGTAATTGGCCCATCTTTGCTGGGTTTTACAGCAAAATTTGGTAAGCAGTAAATCAATTATTGTGTTACCTTTACTATGAACAAAAATGATTACATTTGTTTTATTCAAAACATACTCTATTTAATATAAATCAGATTTAAAACATAGTGTCAAGTTTTAATTAGGTACTATGCCTTAATAATAACGGGGCCTTGAAGCGTAAGAAAAGATACCGAGTGATCGTGTTTCAAAAGATTATTCCTTCAAAAGTACTTAAAAAAACCTTTTTTTATTTGTCTTCAATGTTTGAATATTGGATTACTTATCTTGTTCAGTATATTACAAAAAATCTCTCCATAAAAATATTTACTATCCAGAATACAAAGTTACAATTTGTTTTTCAAAAGACATATCATACAATACAGTCTAGGTTCATACTAAACTATAGAATTAAATTTTTGTATGTAACGAGGATAGAATGGATCGATATAATACGAGTTCATTGTAGAACCACTGGTTGCCTGACAACGCAGAGGTCATGACTTATGTATGTACATACAAACTCGTTGAACTGTTTTGGCATTAGACTCCAGTTACGAGGCTTGGTTTATAGGTTTAAAAGGTTAACAAGAACAAAACAATGTGATATACTGAACTGAACTCCACCGGCGATCGATCGATGTCCCACACTACAGACTTTCCCTGAATATTCTTATTGAGAATATATTATCAATGTAAATTTAAAAAAAAATATTACCGGTTTTTTACCGGGTTAATGAGATGAATAAATGGATGTGCAGTAACCGCGAATAGAATACACTACAATTTTCAAGATCCTTTACATAATAATAATAGATTTTAAAAATATATTCGGTTATTGTAGAAATTATAATAATAATATATTTAATGAAATAATAAAATTCTCTATTAGGTCTATTAGGTTCTTAACAAAATATATAATAACCTCCATGTATGTAGGAACCCATGTATTATACATATGTAGTGAAGCTGCTTATTATTTTTAAATGGATTAAAACTATGACTATACTCATTCGTAAACATATATGTATTTACACGCACACATGCGATGCGCGTGTACTTACACACACAGATATAGTATTTTATAAGTTTTTGGCAACTTTCTTTATTTTATATCATAAGAGGCAAACTACAGACGGATCAACAGATGGTAAGTGACTACTAACGCCCATAGACACTTGGAACTTAGGAGTTAGGAGCACCCGGGCTCCAGGCAGCCCCAGCATCAAAAAGGCTTAAAAAAAAATTATGTCCTAATCACAAAAAAATACCAAACATTATAATAATATATCTGTGAGTATTTTTAACTTATTTATCTCAAACGCTAGAGAGAGAGGGCGCTATTATTAAGTTACTGTCCCGGTTCGAAAAAATCGTAGATCCGGGACTATTTTATTTTTATCTAATTATTTTCTAAGTAGTTTTCTAAATAAAAAAAAGCAAATAAAAAAACTAAACTAAATATTATTAATTACTGAACAGAAGCATCTAACTTTTGCATCACAGTTATTACTGGAGCAGATAGTGTTAAGGATGAAGTCAAGAAAAAAATCGTGTTGTTTTGTAGTATATAAATGTATGTTCTTCAATTGTATGTTTCGTCCAGCGTACCTTCGCTGTTGTTCATCTTAGGTGTTTTTTTCTTGAACTCCTGAGTGACATTCTTCACCCCCAGGAAAAAGTCTTGGTAACACAGAATTGCAATTTAGCGTATTATGAATATATCATTTGTGAAAGGTGTTTTATCTAGAATCAATTGCGGGTATTACAACATATATCAAGATAAAGAATATGTACGCCTGTGCTAATACTGACATGCCTATCGAGAACCTACCCAAACTAAATGAAATTGAAAAACGGTTTTAATGAATTTATCATTGAATACTGAGCCGTACTATATCTTTTCTGATAAGCATTAAAACGAACCTACGTACGAGTATTCTGCCTGATATACATTTTCGTTTTGTACTTTAGAAACCCTTTTATTACAGAAACATCGTGGTATTTTAGTATGACTAATAAGCTCTCCTGTTACACCAATAACCATTAATCTATTTATTGTCAAAAGTAGAATAAATCAGAACAAAAACACCCGTCGTCGGTTTCCCAAGTCAGTTGTCTGAAATTGAATAGGCGCGAATCGTGGCTCCTTTAACATTTCGTCAGTGATTTATTTTACAAAACTTTTATAGATATTTTACAATAAAACCCGTGAAACAAGTTGAAGTGTAAAACTTGGAAAGGCGTTCAAATATCCTCTAAAGTAAAAATCCTCGTGGGGTTCATACGAAGGGTGGCAGAGAGTTACAGAAATTTATCAAGATGTTTTATATTTAGATAGATGAAAGAGATATTCTTATAAATACTCATATCTTTCACGTGCTATTTCTGTACACGCATTAGTGATACTAAAGAGTCGAAATGGAGTAACCACAAGATAACGAGCTACATCAAGCAATATCCGTCGAAGGAAATGTGACGTAAATAATGTGCGATGGAATAAAGATGCCAGATGTTAAACTGAAAGGTAATAGAATATCTACCGAACATGATTTACACGAATATCATATATATTTTGTTAACAGGACAGCGTAATAGAAACACCAGTGGTGTTGGTGGGTAACAAAGTCGACCAAGCCGGTGATCGCATGGTTACTACTGAGGAGGGCCAACGTCGAAGCAAGGAAATTGGTTGCGTTTGTTTTCACGAGATCTCCGTCAGAGAAAGTATTGACCAGGCAAGTTTATATCAACATTAGTTTGTGAGCTAAGACTTTTTGACGGGCCTGTTGGTCTAGTGGTTAGTGACCTTGACTGCTAAGCCGGAGGTCGCGGGTTCGATTCCCACCCAGGTCAAATAATTGTGTGAGATTCTTTCTGTGTCTGGGTGTAACTTATCTGTAATATGTATGTATTTAGAAATATATAAGTATGTTTATCAGCAGTCTGGTTACCATAGCACAGGCTCTGCCTAGTTTGGAATCAGACGGCCGTGTGTGAGAAGTGTGAAGTTATTATTCTTATTTGAGGATGCGCTTTGTTTAATAAGTTTAGGAAATTTAGTTCACCCTTTTTATATCACAAAAATGCATGATGAAATAGAAAGAGTGGTGCATAAAGACGCGTGTTTAAGTTGCTCTGGATTAAGTTGAAAGATAAATATATTTAGACTTCCGCACTGAAAATAATGCTGCACCGAATAAAAACGTCTTTATTCGGTGGTGAAGTCTAAATATTTTTTTCTTTCAACTTAATCCAGAGCAAACTATTGAGTTTACTTTCACATTTTGGTCGCGCAGTACCTTACAAGCTTATAACTCTCGGGACCATTTATTAATTTACTTCCTTTATGTGAATACTCCTACACAAAAGAGAAAATAAAATGAATACTAAAATTTCATTTATTATTTTTGTTACATTTTCTTGTGGTACTGTAGGTATATATTAGTTGGAAGATTGTACAAAATGACAAGAAAAGTGATCGACTCTCTACTCTCTCAGGACCTCTTTTAAATATTAATGTCACAGCACTATTAATAACATTTGTTACTATTATGCCTTAGTGCCCTAATATTAGGAAATATTTTCTTGATAGTTATGTTAACTTTAGGTAATTCCGTGTGGTTACGGATTAAGAATACAGAGTGTCATCACCCCTAATCATCCCGTGGGTGTCGTAAGGGCCGACTGAGAGAGCAAACTGTGTAGGGCAACAGCACTGCAAAGAGAAGGAAAACTTGAAACAAACCCAATATGGGGGGGGGGGGGTTGGCAGCAGCGGACTATTAGAAAAATCTAATAAAACACTTTTGTACCTAGCTTTTTTTTTGAAAATCATTATTATTATTATATTATTATAACGATATAAATTATATTTCTTTTTGAACATATAGAAATTTATGTTCTACTTTTTAGTTCGGGTAGTTACAAAAGCGTGTTTTTATGTTTTTTTAAACAATAAGTAAGTAAGTCACACACAGCACATGCCATACTATATAATTAGTATATTTATCGCTTATTCACATTAATGATTTAAAAAGACTTTCTATATTTGAAAACTTTTTCATTTGACGCAGAAGTCTCAAAAAATAAACTTAATATAAATTCTTAAGATGCAATTACGACGTTGCGGTCGCAATATTTCACTAGTTTTTTTTCAAAGTACTTGATTAATTAAGTTCAAGATATTAACTCTGGGCAAAGGTTTTCTTTAATTTTTTTATAATTTAGTTTATGTATATAATTTATATTATATACATATAATATTGCACCTTTACTAAACATGTAATACAATTTTTTTAAACTCACAATACATAGGAATTTACAAACATGTTTAGAAAAGATCTATAATATCTATCTATATACACATATATATAACTATAATAAGATGTGGTAAGTTTCTTGTTTACTTGACCTCTTAATAAAATTCCTAATAAAATAAAATAATATTTATTGTTCCAAATTATATGTATACAGTTTTTCACGATTCTTATCAACTTTAAAGTAAACTTATCAATATACCAAGCGTGTCATATTAGTTGCCTTCGATGCTAAACTAGGTTGGAAACCTGTGCTTCAGCACACGGCGCCTCTATCCTTCATATATATATATGGGGGTATAAATATTATGCAGTTCAGAGCTCGCAAAAAAGACACCGTTATGGAGGATTGGCTCGAGAGGCATCACGGAACCCTCTCAGTAAACAAATTAAACATAAAAAAGGTGTTTTATAATTAATACTTCACCAAATGAGATTCGCTCGGGGTTTTTTTCGAAAATCTCATTTTTCTGCACTAGACTAGCATTCCAAGGATCCCTTAAAAAAATACAAGTTAGCAAATGCTCTGCGTCTCTATAAGTGTTTTAAAACGCTCTTGTGGCGTCACAATACAATTTCACAATAATGTGATTTTTTCTATATTTTTAATGTTCGAAAATTAAATGTATTATGATTGTAGGTACATGATAAAAGGGTAAAATTATAATGATAAAATTAAAAATTACCTAAACATGAGTTTGTTGTTTTTTTTTAACTTACAATTATTTTAAATTACAAGTATATGCATAATATTGGCTTTTGAGAAAACGATGGATTTGAAATTATTTGATGACCTATACTAATCCCCATCTGACACTACTAAAGATATGCACATGTGGCAATGAATACGTTGTTATAAATGTTTAATTGAATTGATGTGATTGGAACAGTGTTGAGATCGAATTGATCTTCAAAGTTGCACAGCCACACTCGGATTGATTATACGATCAATGCGAATTACTACCCAAACTGCGAACGCTCTAGATTATTATATTTCATTCATTAAACTTAAATGATTTCACACTCACTAAAATCATAGAATATATACTACATTGAATGGTGCGGGGATGAGGCATTATAGTTTGCTAAATAGCTTATAAAATAAATATAAGATCATAATACAAAATATACTATGTGTAATGGAACTCTGTGTACCGTTAGCAACAAACACAGGAACATATTTTAGCACATGTCAACGTCAGAGTTTATGGACGTATTATAGTAGTCTGCTTAGGCCGATTTAAAAAAAAAGAGAATTCAGCAGCAGCAGAGAGATATAAAATGATTTTATTTGGTTGAATGAAAGACAAGTGGAAGTCTCACGCGCTCGACAAAATAGTTTGCTGGTTTTTTTTTTCACATTTTCATATTAAACAACGCTACTCTGAAATTATGTAGACAACACATCCGTATTTATGAATATATCAAGCCGGGCTTATACTCTTCCACAAATATGAATATCACGTAGTGTTTTCGTTTCGTTAAACCAACAACGTACTTTTGAACTTATTTCTTGATTTAATTCAGCTGTAAACGAGGTTTTATTTATCATAGACTTTTAGGTAGCCTTTATTAACATACTTTAATTTATCTGTATCCTATACAAGCAAACTTAATGGCGTGGCTGGCGTCAAGAATAAGGGCTCAACACCGTAGTGTCGTAGGTATGTATTCAAACCTCCTGCGACTTGCCTAGACCGGTTGTTACAATATGAAAAAATAAAATAAAAATAAAGGATTATATTTATTATTGTTACAGTAAAATAAAAAATGGGATTTAACATAAACCGATAAAGCGAAGGACATATGCGCGTATCCCGATCTTAAGTTCAGATTTGTTTTTGCAACCATTTGTATAAATAGAACGAACTGACAAACTAATAGTCCTTGTTAGATACTCAATAGCTACTGCATTAGAATAGAATAGAATAGAATAGAATAATCTTTATTGTACACCAATTCAGGATATTATACATACAATAGTATTCAAGGTTAATGACCATGTACAAATGGCGGCCTTATCGCTAAAAAGCAATATCTTACAGGCAACCTTTGGATGGACAAATAGACTGTAAATAGGTAATTTTATGGGCAGATTTGGTGAGAAAAAGTGTAAAGGAAACTAAAAACAAAAAGAATAATATTTATACAGCACAACAGCATTCCTTTGACAATTACAAAACAAAGTAGTGTCAATTGTATACAGCAGTCAGTCCCAGCAATACCTACTTATATAAATACAAGTAAATACTAACTATAAGGATTATATAATACATAAACAAATACATAAACTCTACCATTCATTTGCAGAGGAATACAGCAGATAGGATATGTTATGTAAATAATAAATTAAAATGACAGGTAGTGTTCTTTGACCATTTTTTTAAAGGTAGGTAAAGTTTTTGCACGTTTTATAGGCATTGGCAAAGCATTCCATAGTCGGACAGCCTGTACAGTAAACGACTTATCGTAAAACGTGGTACAGTGAGATGGTACTGCCAGTTCCAGAGATTCAGATGACCTCAGGGTCCTCGAATGTGTGTCACCAAGGAAAACAAATCGTTCCTTTAAATAAGTTGGAGTAAACGGATGAAATATAATACTATAAAGAAAGGAAAGAATATGAGCATTCCGTCGAAGGCGAATTGGGAGCCACTTAAGCTGATTGCGATATTCAGATACATGATCATATTTGCGCAATCCAAATATAAATCTTATACAAAAGTTTTGAAGGCGCTCAAGTTTATCTAGTTGCTCCTCCGTGATATCGAGATAACTGACATCAGCATAGTCGAGTATAGGAAGGAGGAGGGATTGTGCAAGCGCAATTTTAGTTGCCGTTGGGAGAAAATTGCGTAGTCTTCGCAAGGATCCCGCCGATGCAAACAGTTTTCGACTGACCTCTCGCAATTGGGGGCCCCAGGATAAGGTATTATCAATGTAAATCCCTAGATTTTTAACACAAGTACTCATTGGTAGTGCAGTAAAAATGAGTACGTATGAACAATATTGTTTGTAGATTGTTAATCCACTCCAGTAATCGATTGTCGGTTTCAGTATCCTAGTAGATACTGACAATCGATTACCAATTACTTAAAATGTATGCCACATATCTACGCTGAAAAATCTTTATGATAGACATTTTATTTTATAAAGAATAAAAGAAAAAGTACCTCGATAATTCAGCAATGTGCAAATAATTAGTTAAAATATCAAAATTTAGCTTAGTTACTCTTAATTCGTATCCTTTTTCTACTGCCACTGTTTCTATCTATAGATAATCAAAATGTTTTTTTTATGCCAAACAACGTTCAGTCTACTGTACTTTCCTCCTATATAATAATCTTTTTTGAGTCCGCTTTATAGAATTTATATTATCCTATAATATAAGTATATCGTATGAGTACAACGGAAAATAACACTGTTTAAGTATTATCAAA